GAGGAGAAGGGATTGCGGCGTGGCCATCCCCTCTGGGGGGGGGTGATTTCTTGCTTTCTGTCTCTCTGTCTCTGTCTGTCTGGCGAGCACACGCGCCCTATAGCAAAAGAAAAAACTCTCCAAAAAAAAAAGAAATGGTAAAATTTAAAAAAAATTTAAAAAATTAAAAAAACATCAAGATTGGGGGAACAATCCAGAGGGAGAAATAAACGATGCCAGAAGCAGAAGTCGGGTGACCCCAGAAGTTCCCACCTACAGACGCGGCGGGACAGGGCGGGGGCTCTGCACACACCATCAAGAAGCGTGTGCCCTCCCACTGTACTCACTCGGTATTAGCCCTGAAGGACCGTGCTGCCAACCAATGAACGACGGTAGTAACACACTGCTCCGTAATAACGGCGCAGTGACGCAACGCTACAGGGTGGAGACCACAGGAGGCCCCGCACTGACATGTGGGGTCTATACATGCTGCACGTATTTGTTCACGCCGGGTGCACATGTGTGCCCATGATCTGGGTGACGAGGGCTGGGGAGAAAATGAGCACACAGACCCTGTTACGGGTGCCTTCCTCTTTCTCTCATAGAAGAAATGAACCAAAAACGAAAACCACAGGGGAACCAGCAGATGGCCTAATGGCCATGTCACTGGACTCCCATGTAGTCGACCATGGTTCCAGTCCCAGACCCGGTAGCTTAAACTCACACCGGGTGCATGTGCGTGCGTGCCCAAGATCCTGAGAAGAGAATAGAGGAGAAGGGATTGCAGCGTGGCCATCCCCCCGGGGGGGTGATTTCTCACTTTCTGTCTGTTAGTCTCTGTCTTTCTGGCGAGCGCATGCACCCTATAGCAAAAACTTCTCAAAAAAAGAAAGGAAAAACAAAACAAAACAAAACATACAGGAAGAGGACAACAGGTGTAATTTAATATCCGTGGACCAGACGTTCACCACTGGGGCCAGCCCAGGGGGCAGTGCTTAGGCAGCTGAGTCCCACCGGCCGCACTTCCAACCCCAGCCCTGGCAGCCGGAACACATCAGGCGCATGTGCGTGTGCCTAGAATCCCGGCAGAATAGAGAAGGAGCAGAAGGGACCGCAGCGTGACGCCCCACTGGGCTGTGCTTTTGTCCTCTTCCTTGTCTTCTCTCTCTGAGCACACACACTGTCACGATAAAAAAAAAAAAAGAAAAAAAGAGGACCACCGGAAGAATGGCCACAATCCCCTGTGGTCATTCCAATGCAGCAATCAAATGCTTTTTAGATGAACCCTAAGAAAGGAAGGGCCCCTGGGGCCAGCAGGAGGCGTAACGGTTACATTGCTGGACTCCCACATGGTTGACCACGGTTCAAGTCCTGGACCCAGTGGCTTGAAACTCACACCAGACACATGTGCCTGTATGCCAAAGTCCCGAGAGGAGGATGGAGGAGAAGGGATTGTGGCGTGGCCACCCCGCCCCCCACAGCAGTTAGCTAGAAATGAGCGGGCAACCCTAAGATAACAGCAGAAGGACACCTGTTACTACAATCGCAACTTATCAAGAGTCACGACCAGACCCCAAAGACTCCTCCCTCCCACCCAGCTCCTATGCCAGGAAGGTGAGACAGATCTCTTTTTTTTTTTCTTCTTTAGTTCCTAAGAAAGACACAAAGGGATGGTTGTTCATTTCCCTCTTATCATTCTTCATAAATAGAAAAGACCCAGAATAAGGGTGCTCCTACCCTCAAGGCTCACACTGGACAGCACGTCTAGGTCATCTAGTTCCTCAATTCTCCCTAACGAGGCACAAGAGGGGGAGGCTGGGGACCAGGCCATGAGCACAGATGCCAACAGCGCCCCCTGCTGATGCTCACCATCCCTGCTAGTGACAACAGCACCCAACCAGCTACACGCGAGTTGCTGCCTAGCAACCTGCCCGCCCAGAAGTCCTTTGGGCCTGCTTCTCTCCTAAAATCCTTTCTTTCCTATTAAATACTCTCTCCTACCTGCTTTTATTGTGGCTGTGGCTTTAGTGCACGCCTCAGGGCAGGGCTCTAATTGTAGCGATCTGGACCTAAAGAAACCAAGAATTTACACAACACAGCTCGACTCTCCCATCCTGTAATAATTTCTCTCTTTTTGTCTCTCTGTCTCTGTCTCTCCAGCCAGCACATTCACCCTATAACAAAAATCTCTCTTAAAAAAAAAAAAAAGAAAGAAAGAAAAAGAAAAGAAAGAAGAGACCCACCAAGAGGTGAAGTTGTAAGAACGACAGCCCGAAGAAGATCCAAAAGGGACAGCCAAGTGTCCAGCAGTGGGCCTCACAGCAGGGGAGACTGCCAAGCCCCGCAGAGGCGACGAGGAAGGCATCCTGGCACCGGGAGCTGTGTCAGCGCCCTCTGACACATAGGGACCAGCAGTTGGCACAATGGCTATGTCGCCGGACTCCCATGTGGTTGACTGTGGCTCAAGTCCCAGACCTGGTAACTTAAACTCACGCCGGGTATGTGTGCGTGCGTGCCCAAGATCCCAAGGGGAGAATGGAGGAGAAGGGACTGCGGCGTGGCCATCCCCCCGGGGGGTGATTTCTTGCTTTCTGTCTGTATTCCTCTGTATCTCTCGCAAGTGCACACGCCCTATAGCAAAAACCTCTCAAAAACAACAACAAAAAAGTTACACACAGAATTACTGCATGACCAAGTAATTCTAATTCCAGGTATATACCCAAGAGAAATGAAGACATACGTCCACACAGAAACCTGCAAGCGTCCCCAGCAGCACTATTCACAATAGTCCAACAGCGGAAATAACCACGTGTGCTTGAACTGATAAGCAAATTGTGGTATAAACATAAAATCGAGCATTCGGCCATAAAAAGGGATGAATCAATGGTCCACGCTACAGCTGGGATCAACCCTGAGAGCAGATTAGGTGAAATAAGTCATACGAAAGAATAAAAACTGTATGAGTCTATTTATACAAAATATCCAGAAGAGGAAACCTACAGAAACAAAATGCAGATTACTGGTGCAGATTACTGCTTACTTACTGGATGCGGGTGCTGGAGGCTGATGAGGGTGCCGCACAGAGGTGGTGACTACAGCCTCTGAGTGTCTCCATGCCACTGAACTGTTCCTGCTAAAGTGGCTCACTTCCTGTGACTTTCACCTTAACTAAAAACACTAAACTGTGTGCTTACTAGCATTCCCCAAAGAAACTAAAAGACAAGATACAAACTGAAGAGAGAGGCTTAGAAAAGATACTCACAAAAGACAAGAATCAACAATGGAAAACAGAGGCTCCCTACTAGCACAGGCCTTAGTGTGTTGGACTGAGACACTGGAAGCCACACGGTTGACCACAGGGCTGACCCCTTGGTTGGGCTGAAAATGCACAGGGCACTTGTCCTGGTGCCCAAGATCCCAAGGCGCTGGAGAGCTCGAGAAAAGGAACCACCACGTGATGAGACCCGGTCAGAGGTCTCTCTCTCTCTCTCTCTCTCTCTCTCGTGCATGTGCACATGTTCTCTATCATTAAAAAAAAGAATTTAAAAATGCCTACAGCTCACTAAGAAGCACAGATGAAAACTACTGGTGAACAGGCAAAAGGCATGAATCACCTTTTCAGAGAAGAGGAAATACATACAAGGGTCTTCAAAAGTTTGTGAAAAATGCATATGATGAAAAACTATCACGAATTTCCAACATCTTTTTTTTCAGTATTTCTTTTTTTTTTTTTTTTTTAGAGATTTTCACCATAGGGCGCGTGTGCTCACCAGAGAGAGAGACACATAGAGACAGAAAGCGAGAAATCACCCCCTAGGGGGGATGATCATGCCGCAATCCCTTCTCCTCCATTCTCCTCTCGGGATCTTGGGCACGCACGCACACGCGTGTGAGTTCTAAGCCACCGGGTCCGGGACACGCACCACAGTCGACTACGTGAGAGTCCAGCGACATACATAGTCATTACGCCAACTGCTGATTCCCAAATTTCCAACATTTTTGCACTAAACTCCCCTTTTCTTCTTTCAGGTTTTTGCCATAAGGTGAGTGCACTCACCAGGGAGACGGAGAGAGAGAGACAGAAAAAAGGAAAGTGAGAAATCACCCCCAAGGGGGATGGCCATGCCTCGATCCCTTCTCCTCCATTCTTCTCCCCGGACTCTGAGCACACATGCATGCACGCACGCCTAGCGTGATTTTCAAGCCACCAGGTCCTGAACTTGAAATGCAGCCATGGGAGTCCAGCACCTTAACCATCATACCACCCACTGGTCCCAAAAATAAACTCGCATTTTAATCCCATCTTCCCACAAGCTTTTGGAAGTGCCCCGGTATGAAGAGACACTCAGCTTTCCTGGTCATCTGAGATTCGTAAATCGAAGTGAGGTGACCCCCTATCACAGGCGCTCACCCAGCAGGAGCTCTTACGTCTGACACTGTGAGTATTAGGGCAGAGGTGGGCTACTCACTGTGGTGAGAATGCAAGCTGGAGTCACTGCTTTAGAAAAATTCAACATTCTTGGGGCCAGCCAGGAGCACACTGGTTAAGGAGGCTGGATCCTCCATGGCTGACTACATGGCTGAGTCCCGGACCAAGCAACTTGAAAAGCACACCAGGCACGTGTGCGCGCATTCCCAAAATCCTGAGGAGAGTAGAGAAGGAACTGCAGCGTAACTTTCCCTGTTTCTCTTTCTCGCTCTCTCTCTTTGGTGAGTGCGTGTGCTCTATAGCAAACTTAAAATTTAATTTAATTTATTATTATTATTATTATTTATTTCACCAGAGAACAAGAGAGATAAAAAAGAGAAAGCAAGCCTCCAGGTCCAGGAATTGAACCACGGTCAGCCATGTGGGAGTCCTGCGCCTTAACCACCACTCCACCTGCCAGCATCCCCCTACAGCAAATTTTTTAAAAAGAAATTTTGCGAGCCACACAGCATGTAACTTCGCAACCCCTCTGCAGGTATATAACCAAGACACACATCCACTTGTGTGCCACAGCAGACAGACGAGAGCGGCACCATCACAACAGCAAAACCCAGAATCGAACTCACACAGAGAGAGGACTGATAAACCACGATGCAGCCACACGCCGACCACGCCCGCGACCCAGTGACGAGCCCGACACACGGTGCAGACGATCTCGGCTTGTACTTCGTGATGCCACCGTGCACAGCAAGGAAAGTCCCCCAAAGACGCAGTCCCACTTCTACACAGTCAAAAACTAAAATACACACGCGTCATTTTGTTCCAGATAGCTTACCGATCAGCTAGAATTACAAAAAGGAAATTGAGAGAAAGATGGAACCAGATTCAGGATGGTGATCCCCTGGGAGAGGGAGGGGCAGGAGGATGGGACAGGGGACACGTGAGCAGAGGGACCTTTATGACGCCACTCTGCCAGCTGGGTGGGAGGACTGCAGGGGCTGACTACTACAGACGGACGGACGGGAGTTACGGTGGGCGTAAAAAAGAGCCAGGACCACGCGTGGACCAATGATGAGGTGGGCTGTCTGCTACGATCACGCCTAGGCCACTCTAGTGCTGGAGGTCCAAAAGAAAACAATTTAATGAACTTAGCAAAAGAAATAGCTGCAGGGTAAGGATTTTAAAGTAAACTGAATTAAGTTTATAAAGTATAACAGCACTTAAAGCAAAACCATCAGTTTGTTCCTTTAGGGGAACAGCCTAAGAAAACGGAAACGTCAACTTAAACAAGAACACTGAAGCAAACACGTGCGCTAGCTCACCTCTTCCTGAATGTACTGAAGTAGGAAGGGGGATGCCCTGAGGTTATCAACAGGGATATTGAAGAAGCCCTGGATTTCCTTCTGGTGCAAATCCATAGTAATAAGATGGGTTAGACCTTGGAAAATAAAGCAGACATGAACACAGAAAGAGTTTTAAAACAGGTGGCACCGTAAGTACTACATAAAATACAATGTACGAAGAGTTTATTGAAAACTGCTCTCAGGCCAGCGGGTGGCATGGCGGTTGAGGCACTGGATCCCACATGGCCTACTGCTGGTTTGAGTCCCAGACCCAGCAGCTTGAAAAACATGCCAGGCACTTGTGCAAGTGTACCCAAAAGCCAAAGAGGAGAATGGAGAAGAGACCGTGGTATGGCCAACTCTCCTGAGGGTTTTTTTCTCATTCTCTCTCTCTCTCTCTCTCTCTCTCCCATGGGTGAGCATACAACCTATAGCAAACTTAAAAACAAAACAAAACAAAAAAACAAACCTGCTCTCCCATTAAAAAATTTAATCCCTTTATTTTCAGATTTGTTAGGACTATGAAATACATGAATTCCACACCAATTTAAAGTCTTGAAATAGTGACAATGACAGTAATACAGAAAGTCTCTCAGTGGGACCAGCAGTTGGTGTAATGGCTATGTCACTGGACTCCCATGTAGTCAACTGTGGTTCAAGCCAGATACGGTGGCTTAAACTCACATCGGGCACATGTGTGTGCGTGCCCAAGATTCTGAGAGGAAAACGGAGGAGAAGGGATTGTAGTGTGGCCATCTCCCCTGGGGGGTGATTTCTTGCTTTCTGTCTCTCTGTCTCTCTCTCTCTTTCTGGCAAATACACACGCCCTATAGCAAAAACCTCCCCCCAAAAAAGTCTCTCAGCTTCTGAGAACAGACTGATCTGCTTGAAGCTCCCTTAACAGACCTGGCGAAGTCCAGTCTTAAGGTATTAAAACCAACTAGTCCAGGCTGGGCACTGGCGAAAATGAAGAATCTTTATTCCCCCTGCGGCTTTCAAGGATATCTGAAATCACCACGAAAGAATAAAGAAAGTTCATTATGGAAAATGTTTAAAATACTTGTACAAAGGGGCAGGAATGTGAGTCTGGTGGCCTATCTGGGAGCCTTGTCCAAAGGCTCCGGGAACCAGGCTGCTCCTGCTACAGCATTTCAACAGGGTCTGCTGTAAAGGCTGCAGGGCTCAGGGTTTTCCGTTCTGTTGTTTCTGTCTTCTTCGGAATGCTCATTTGGACTCTGTTCTACACTGAGGGTTAAAAAGCAGTGGTGGGGTGCTTCCTATTCTCTCTCTATAAACCCCGTCTTAGGTACCGTCTTCAATCATGTGCACACATGTGCAAGTGCATGCATGCACACACAGTAACCACCATGAAGAGGAATGTCCTTAGGATGTTATCTGAACATGTGTAACACAGAGTAACATATATGGCTCATAAAATATGCCTCTCTGCATCAGAAAAAGGAAGAAGTCCAAATTAAAACAATTGTGGTTAGCCAGCAGGTGGCATGGTGGTTAAGGTGCTGGACTCCCATGTGGTCAACTGCAGTCCTACTCTCAGAGCTGGTGGCCTGAAAGTTACACCAGGCACATGTGCATGTGCATGTATGTCCAAAATTCAAGGAGGAAAATCACTCCTTGGGGAGTGATTTCTCACTTTCCCTCTCACTGGCTCTGTCTCTCTCTGGTGAATGCACACGCCCTATGAAAACCTTAAAAAAAAAAAAAAAAGTTGCTGTGTTAAGAGCTCGGCAGTAGAGTTTAGAATGGCTTTTCCCCTTTCATTTCATAACTTCTTTTTTTTTTAAGATTTATTTTATTTACTTTAATTTGATCAGAGAGAGAGAGGCAGGGGAGATGAAAAAGCAAGCTACCAGGTCTGGGACTCGAACTGGGGTCAGCACCTTAATCACCACACTACCTGCTGGGCCCCATCAATACGATGTTTAAATAGAGCATTTAGGAAAAAATAAGTCATTGATGCCGCCTTTGTATTTAGGGAGGTGAGAACACAGAGAACTGCCTTCACTGCAGGCTGCCCTTAAAGCAACATCACTGTTTTCACTGTCTCACATTTTAATTCGGTTAATTAACCCAGCACGTTGAAGCCCTAAGGTGTGACCCTCACCCCGCCCTGCCGTCTCACGTACCGGCCTTGCACATCATGGAGGCCAGCAGCTTGGAGACGATGGAGCCCCTCTTCCTCATCTTGCACTGCTTGCTGTAGGGGAAGTAGGGGATCACGCCAATGATGCTCTTGGCACAGGACGTCTTGCACGCGTAGACCATGATCAGGAGCTCCATGATGGTGGTGTTCACGTCCCTGGCCCAGACAGAAATCCCCAGCGGGGTGTGAGACACTCCACGCCTGCCCGCCCAGCCACGGGCCAGCAGGCTGCTCGCGCCTCTACCAAGCCTCGAGTCACGCACACAGAGGAGTCTCCATCAGCTTTCGTTCTCACTGAGAACAGCTCCACCAGAAGAGTGGCCAGGTCTCTGTCCCTGGGATCTGCACCTACGAGTCAGCCTGCCAGAGTCATCAGCCAGAGGAGCTCCCCCGCCCAGATCCCCGAAGTGAACCCTCCCAGTCGAACGCCAGCACAGCCCCCTCCAGTGAGCCCTCCCAGTCACACGCTAACCCAGCCCCCTCCAGTGAACCCTCCTAATCACACGCCAGCCCAGCCCCCTCCAGTGAACACTCCCAAACACATGCTAACCCAGCCTCCTCTCCAGTGAACCCTCCTAATCACACGCTAACCCAGCCCCCTCCAGTGAACCCTCCTAATCACATGCCAACCCAGCCCCCTTGAGTGAACCCTCCTAATCACACACCAGTCCAGCCCCCTCCAGTGAACTCTCCGAATCACACGCTAACTCAGCTTCCCCTCCAGTGAACCCTCCCAAACATATGCTAACCCAGCCTCCTCCAGTGAACACTCCCAATCACACACCAGCCCCGCCCCCTCCAGTGAGCCCTCCCAATCAAACGCCC